ATATGTTTTCCAATACACCCTGTAGAGTTTTCTTCATTATTTTTACAAATTTTAAAACTTTTATGGATAATTTATGAACACCCTGTATACATCTAGCAACAAATTTACTTTTAATATTGAAATTTGATAGTAATTTTTAAATGATAATGTGAGGTGTGTTAAAAGGGAATTGTTCAGAGGCAAACAAAAACTGATAATTTCTAAATTTCAACAGTTGTGTTTATATGTGTTAGTGGGTAATATCATGTCATTGGTGGAAATTTAAGACCATGTAAAGTGATCCTTGAAATGACAATTGACACTTGGAATGCCACGTTACAGTATTTGTTACAATGTAAAAGTGGAAAATTGATACAAGCCAATTTAACTGCTGCATCAAAATATTTTAAATGCCCGTCTTCACTCAGATGAGTTTTAAATTAAAAAAAAAAAAAAAAAAAAAAAAAAAAATCCTGAAAATAAATTTAAATATTTTGCAATAGGAAAGTTTCTAAGCATTGAGCCAATAAAATATGTTTATCTTATCAAATTTATTTTTCCTTTCGTTTTTTTATTTCGAATAAAACATTTTGGGACAAATTTCTTGCTCTAATTTAACAACTTTTACAAGACAGACCTTTCTTTTTATACACTGATATTCACTCGGTACAAGGCCCAAGAGACACTCAAGGTAGAGAGTTACAGAGAAAAAGGCTCAGTTTATGCAGATTTGTGAAAGAAAATAACTGTTAACCAAGGTTAAGATTATAGTGATCAGGGAAGCATTCTCCTGGGAGTCAGTTCTACAAAGCAGTGGGAATTTCCATGGATCCCATTCTAAATGATTGACCCTGCACTAGTCACATGGGTTATTTTCTTACCTACCAATTTTTTTTAAGTACTTGTAATTCATAGTTACATGTTTCTTTTCCTCCCTCTGACTACTCTCCAGATTCAGTGAGGGTGTGCAGCATGCAGTGTGATGCAGTTGTAGCTCGGTTGTCATGGGAGGGACATATTGTTTTGTCTTCTTCCTGTCATCCCACCTGACTAACAAAGGTAAATTTTCATGAGTTGCACAAATTACAAGAACGTAGTAACTGTTGGTGAATCAGTGTTCATGGAATTATAGTGTGACTATTTTTGGTGAATAAAACTTTTTTCCAATATTGTTTTAGTGTATTTCGCCTACAATTTACGACGTATGTTTATACAACAAATTTGTTATAATTTTCATTTCAATGAACATTATATCTTCAGTTCAAGTCTTGATTCAATGTATATTGTAATAGAGATTGACTTAACACATTTGTAACACTATAAGCATTTTTCTTTTAGGGTATGTAAGCAACCCAGGGGTATCCATTTATGGAAATATGAGGTGACTCTAGGGACCTTGTTAATAAATAAAAAAAATAATAATATTATAAATAAAAAAAATAAATAACAAAACTTTGTTTAAAATTGTAGAATCCTAATTCCACATCTTTACAAATTACTAAAAATAGCTTGTTCCATTTGTGCAAAAAGTGGATCACAGTGATTTTTTGAACAGATCCAACTTTACACATATTTTTTTGAATATTCGAGTTCTAATTGGTCAACAAACATACAAATAGGTGTTGCTATCCACTCATAGACAAGTTTTTTTTAATCACATGTTCAAGTTAAAATTTTTAGTGCCAATTTCTCTGGAGCCTGCCCAAGTAAATAAATACAGAACACTAACACTTTGCCAGTGAGCATTGTGACTTCAAACTATTTACTACACGAACCTATGTCACTCCATCTGAAATTTTCAAAGTTACTTGCAAACATTAACAAACTTTCAAAAATTTCACTCACTCATCAATCCATTCACCAGTAGCTCATAATCATTCCTGCTAGTGAATAAACAGTGCAATTTCAAAGAAAGCAAAGAATTTTTCAATCATGAACATTCCAATGTCAAGTCTAATTAAGAGCAGTCAAAGGAAAACAACTTTATTCAAACTAAATTTACACAAATTTAATGTGAATTTATTATTTGACACAAATTGTTTAATTTTCTTATTGGCAGCTTATTACTACATCCTACTTTGTGAAACTTTCATCACAAATTTTGCAACACTTAACTTCAGTTAAACTCACAAGCATCATTCACACACACACACACACACATATATATATATATATATGATTTAACATTAATCAAACTAACAAATAATAGGAGATTTCAATCAAAAAATCTATGCTTATTACAATACATATTGTAATCTTCATACAATATAAATGAAAATTGATTGTTATTCAATATAAATGCTTTTTGTCTTTTCAGTAGTGTTCTATGCTTTTCTGTTTATTTTCATTGAAGTATAATATAAATGTATTGTCTGCAGCCCAAATTTATTCTTTCAACTATAAGATCCAGCATAAGTCCACCACAAAATAAATGAAATAAAACCAAATAAAAGTTTTCCCAGAATGCAACAGAAACTTTTCCTGCCTGAAAACCAACTTTGCATCAAAAGATGCAGAACTCAGTTTCTTCGCCACTGACCATTGGAAAGTCAAGATGTCCATCTCCTCTCCTTGGGACATTGCTTATTATAATACAAAGTGACACCTTCCTTTTATCACATACAATTGTAAAACACTTGTAACTTAAAACACACACAAGTACAAAAAATAAATTGTATGATTTTAATTTATGACTTAACATGCTTCTAGTGTTATTTCTGTCAATGTTTTTTACTCTATATGAACACAAGTCCATCCCTGCCTGTACGATGTGAGTGACCATGTAGTGAACAAAACAAGATCTAGATTTAAAATTCAAATGCTAAGCACTGACTCATTCATTTTGTTAGAAATTAAAAGAAGGCTTGAATTTACAAACTTTGCTTAACACACACACACAAGCAAATCCAAATAAAATTTGTGAAATTTCACACCTTGATGTGAAATGTTTTTCAGCCAATAGAAAACTAGGAAACATTTAAAAACAAAATTCAAATAATCTTCAATTCTCAGAAATAAATCCTTTTATGGACTTTTTCGCAAGCCAACGTGAAGTTTGTTCATTGTCCAATGGAAAGGCCCGAATCATATCTGGAAGTGAATTCCCAAATGACCTTTTTAAGCCCCACAAACAAAATAAAAGACGGGCAAGTTCACCTGTCATCAGAGAGGAGACGAGCGTATTAACACATCCCTTGACAAACATCAAACGATTGTTATTATCTCTACCTTTTTCCCCCTCACATCTTTTATACTTGATAAACGAACAAAACATTTTAAGACTGAGTGATTTCTTCAAAGACCCTACGATAACACTCATACATACATACATACATCCACACATACATTCCTGCCTACGTACACAAACTCATTCTTGCAAGAACTACTATGAACATTTTGACGACCTTGTATCAACCAAAATACATTAATTTTATTTGTAAAGGCCCTAATTGATTTATATGTATATAAAATTGTTGTTCACTTTACAATTTGATTTTCTTGTTTGATACCCCTCTTATGGTGGGCTAACTAACAAGGCCAAATCAAACTAATTTGTTTCAACACTCATACACTTCACGATATTGAGTCACCCCCCTATGAGGGTGTCATGTGGCAAAAGGCCTTTTTAACGTGGGCATTCCGAGCCCGTAGGCTCGGCCAAAAATATGCCCATTGAACCCGTATAAACGGGTTCAGGGCCGGTTTACCTCCCCGAAGGAGACTCCGCCCTTCAGCGGAGCCTCCTTCGGGTTTCTCCCGTCCATAGGAAGAGTGTTCAACCGAGCAGTTGGTTCAAAAGTGAACGACTGACTTACACTTCACTATAACTGATAACCCACTATAACCCCACATGACTATTGCAGGGTTAATGGAAATAGATATCATAAAAAAACCTCTTTGAAAAATTATTATAACACAATATGCAGCATATGAATATATGAGTATTTAATGAATGCTTCCAATTATCTCCATTAAAATGAGAAGACAATGTTAAATGTCAACTGTAGAATTTCTATTGGTTCAGCAAGTAAAACATTGAAAGATTAATGAAATTAGAAATTGTAAAGAAAGAAAAATTCCTTAGTAAATAAATTATATTTCACTAAATATAAATATTTTTTCTCAAATGTAACCATACAATGTAATAAAGTAGATGAACGTGTGGAGGAAAAAAAAAATGTCTTTACAATATTGAAAACGAGGCAAAACAAATTCTGTAAGGGAGATAACTCATTAAATGGAGAAAAATTCAAAAATGTTTTGCAATTTTGATTACAATTGAAAAAACATGTTATAATTGAAAAAGAGCGTGTGTGGGTGGGGAAATAAGGGTCCACATCTGAAGGATAGCCACTAAAGTTAGAGGAATATCAATCATAGCATAAAGAGAGTATACCACTATTCCATAATTGTTATACTTATTGTATGATATATCTATTCAAAATGCAAGGCTCATTACAAGACATTATACCCATTATAATTCAATAAAATATTTCAAAATTTAAAGATTACTGGGTAGTTAAAAATATCCAAAAGGTTTTTTTATTTTATTCATTATTTAATTTTACTACAAGTATTTCTTTCTTACATTATTAGTCTTTTGGACAAGCATAAAGGTTTGTCCCTAGTTTGCTGTTTAGAATTCTGCTTGCTTCTAAAGGCTACTTCAACTCCATAGTCTTAACATACCTGCTTAAACTCTGAAATTTTATTTACTATTTATTTTCTTTTCCTCAACAGGAATAGATAAGGTTACCTATTGTCTAGTTCACATGTCTCCCCAGTCTTTTGAACAGGAGTAGAGCTTTATCACTTGTTTCCTATTTAGTACTGTGTTCCCAGTTCTTTTTAAAGTCTTTAATTCTCTTTCACATCCAGTAGCCCCTTGCATCTTAGTGGCATTATTGCCTTGCTTAGGGTAAATTGATTAAAAAAAAATATAGGAAGAAGAAAGATAGCATTATAATTGTACACCATATTTGAAGTTTCAGGAAGGAAGAAAAAAAAAATAAAGGACTAACATTCTTTGAAGTTGGCTTTTGCTTCTTCCACTTTTTCCATCAGAATGATAATTTGCTGCTGGAGTTGTTGGTTCATCTCTTCTTGAGTCTCAAATCGAGTTTTCCATTCATTACCTGCAAATATCAAGATAGAAAGAATACTAAAAGAAATGGCTTCCTTTATTCTATAGTGATTTAAAAAAAAGTTTTTTAAAAAGATTAAATATTATAAGAATTATTTGTTAAATTCTTAGCATCATTAATTCAGTCACTGAAATATTTCCTCTGGATTTCTATGATTTTGACCTTATGTCAAATTTTGCATTTTATATGTTAGTTGCTAATTCATTGACAGAATTTTGGCCAAAAGAAAGGAAAAAAATCAAAAGAAAGGAACAAAACCCAAACCAAAGATCAGAATTCATTTGATCTCTGCCTCATTTGGCTAAAAAATATTCTGCAACTCTTCATATATTTATATTTGACCCACTAACTGGTTTTCTTTTCAATTTCCTCCAGATTTCTTATCTTCATCCTTTTCTTTTTTATACTGTCTTTGCATTTATCAATTTCTTCCCACTTGATGTTTTTTAAGTTGGTCTTGTTTTGTGCATGTTGAGAGTTCTTCTCAGGACTGAGAAAAAGCTGGTGTTATATAACTCTTTCAGTCCCAGACCCAGGCTGAATATTGGTTAATAACTTCCCAGTATTGATCATATGTAAATTTTGTCAGCACCACCTCTAGAATGTCCCTCTCTCAATGGCCAAGTGCGGAACTCTTAGCACTTACTGCGTCGGAGTTAGCTCCTCCTTAATTCCCTAATTATTCACTAGGGGTCGTTCTCCCTACACTATAAATACTGGGCGACTTCTCACCTTGTGCTCTTTTTAATTTCAGTGAACACCTCTACAATGTGAACTCACAAAAGATAGTGTTCCCCACTTGTGGGAAGACGCCATGGACATTATACACACATATGTACAAACATTCACCAAAGAACAAACACAAATGTCCACACACACACACACAAATGTTAATTTCTATGTCCATTGTTAAATTGTGTTCTTTAATAGATATGACATATATACATCGGTCTTGTTTGTTTTCTTCACATCTTCGGTTGGACTAAATTTGAGTCTGCCATTTTCTTGTAGTTGGACCTTTTAGCAAAAAAAAAAAAAAAAAAAAACAGTCCATGTTCCTAATTCAACAATACTCAAACCCACTGGTCCCCGCTACAACTGCATCACATACAACTAACTCTGGGTCTCTTGTGTTGACCAGATTCTCCGTTACATTAAGTTTTTCTGTCAGAAATTATAACTGATTATAGAACAGAAGGGCTAGGCATTGAGCAGATACTAAACACTGATCCTATGTAGAAAAAAGGAATAACAATTGTTCTTATTCACAGATTAGGACTGTCAGAACTTTGATCTGTAAGGCCAACCCTTTGAAAGAATCTTATGTGATTAGCTTATTAAATAATTAAATTTCTGCATAAATTGATTTGACAGCAAAACAAAAAGCATCCCTCAACACAATGAGAAAAGAAAAAACCTAAAAAACAAACTCGTTCTGAAACAAAGATAAGTGAAACTATTTGTAACCTTTAATCTCTATTTGATTAATTTAGCCTACCTTCGTCTTTGATGACTTCTGAGCATTTTTCAAGTTCCTCCACAGTTACCAATAATTCTTGGATTGATTGCTCAAGCATGTCCCTAAAGAGAAACAAAGATTCAAAAAGTCTTGTGCTGAGACTTCATTTGATAAGCATATAGAAAATTGGTAGAAACCTTGTACTGATGAGGGGGGGGTTAAGAGATCAAATTTTGGTTTATTTAAGCCCACAGGTTTGTTTCTGTATTTTGGACCTAAAGTGGATGAAGGATCATACTGAGATATTACAACCCCCCTCCCACAAAAAAAACCCCAACCAACCCCAAAATCATTGGGTTTAAAGATCCAAATAGTTTGTGTTATGATTTTAAAAACTTGAAACAAAATTTTTATGCAAATATACCAATTGGTCAATGATGTTTTTTTTCTGCAATGATAAAAAAAAAAAACCCCAAAAAACCCCAACAAACTAAGAATAGTGTTTAAAAAAATCCATTCTTAAAGAATTTAACTTATATCTAATACAAATACATGCTTAAAAAGATCAGCTATAAATTAGAATGATGTGACACCCAGCTGCAGTGGCTTAACTGTGCAAAGGTGAAGATATTAGAACTCCCACTAGACAGTCACGCATTCACAATTACAAACACACATTACCATCCAATGCCCCCTTAGACATACAAGAATCTTCACAAACTTACTTACATATGGTTTTAATGCATGTGACATGTGTGACTCTTTCTTTTACATACATATATGTGTGTGTGTGTGTGTGTGTGTGTGTGTGTGTGTGTGTGTGTAAATATATGGATATAGATCCAACAGTATGAAGAAAAATATACGGAAAAAACAAACAAAAATCCTAATATGCAATTATGCTGTTTTAATGTTAATATAATGTCAACGTCAGACGTTTCGGTCTAATAGACCATCTTCAGGACATATTCATAAAACATAATTAACAGACCATATTCAATTCAACATGAAAAAGACGATGGACATAAAAGCAAGACCAATCCAAACAGATAACTGAAATCTTTTATAAGATCAGCGTTCCGTTTAAATATGATCAAGTTTTCGTCAGGTGGGAGATGTTGTGAAAACGTATTCCTAAAATTTGACAAACGTACATATAAGTTTTAGATCAAAATAAAATTCTTTTCGTTTTTCATTCAAAATACTCAAATATATATATATGTATATATAGGTTATGTATACAAGTACAAATTTAACGGTGCAACAAAAGTGCAGAAAAACTTTTTGTCATTGATAAAGACCAGACGACATGCGTTGAACTGATGTCATCATTCGTTGGAAAAGGCACCCCTACTCTACTTTTACTGTGAGAGAGAGTTTACATGCATAAATTTTTATTTTTATATATTTCCAAGTGGGATGAAGTTTTTTTTTTTTTTGACCTCCACCCCCCAGCTTATTAAAATCATCCTATTTATTAATTTTACATCAAATTTTTTTTTTTTTTTTTTTTATTAAGACTTTCCCATTGGTAGAAAATTCAACACCCTAATGATTCAGACCTCACTGCATTAGGCATCTAAAAATATTAAGATAAAAATCTAATGCAAGTTCACTGAAAAGTTATTTTTCAATTTCTAAAATGAGTTATTTCCATTAAATGGTGAAGTAGTGGGCCTAAAAGAATGAATTCTATTCCTTATTTTTGGCTATTTACCTATTTTTTTTTTTTTTTGTGAGAGATTTCTGGGATGTTACTAAATATAAAAACAATAAAATAAAGGGGAGGGATCCCTAAATCAGATAATTAAGTTTTTATAAATTCTTGATTCTATATTTTTATCTGATGCTCTCATAAGCTCATACATTTTTTTCTTTTAAATTTTAAAATTTATATACATTTGAATAATATTAATTTAATGTAAATTTAATTTTTACATTTAAATTGTATAATATTTATATTTAATTTTTTTTTAATATTTCAAATATAAAAAAAATGTTTTTGTTTTTAAATAGATCTACAGAATCTGCTGTACTTATTTTTGATTAGAATTTAAATATACAATTTTTGCTTTTCATTTGAACTTATTTTGTGGAAGGAGACCTATAGACTTTTTTCAAATAAACTAACGTAAACGTTTGAGAAAGTAAATGTTTTTGTGAGGAAAAAAACAAAAAAGAAATTAAACGGATTTATGTGAAATTTAATGGCAGTATCAATTTTACATAAATGATAAAACTTAGCTGAATAGATTGAGGCCAAGAAATAAATTTTGTCTTCTTTTGGTCCACAAAAATTTATTTTTATCCAGTTAACTATAAAAAAAAATTATGTGGTGGTTGATTAGTTATGAGCAGTAGAGGAAGAAGGAAAGAAAAGACAAAAGTAGATCAATGAAGTCTGACAATGAGTAATTGAAATTTGATTTGAAATTTACAATTCATTGTTAAGTGTATTAAGAAGGAACGAGATGTTGAAAAATAAATATTTGTGTAAAACTGAAAGCGTTTTGTCATTAGACTAATAGTGTACCTTCCTATTTGAAGTTACAGAAAAGTTTTATTAGGATAATTGATAATACAAAAACAAAAAAAGAAAAATGAATATTGACAAAAGATTTTAATTTTAAAATCTTTTATTATATATCTAATTCTAATATTAAAATTTAATTTAAAAGAAAAAAAATGTAACAAAGATAATTTAAGGTTCTTAGAAAATTGAAAAAAAGTTTTCATAAAATAAATTCAAGAAAGAAAAAAAAAAGTTTATTAAATGCAAAATATTTTCTCATTTCCTTATTAAAAGAAATATTAATTTATTGAGACAAAAAAAAAAAAAAATCCCCCCACTGCAACCCCCCCCAAAAAAAACATCCCCTGACATTGATAAGTTGACATTTGCTTTTTAATGAAAAAGCAGAAAATGAAGATGCAAATCAAACTCACTTCATTTCTATTTCTTGTTGAATTTCAGCAGCGAGTCTTTCCAATTCAAATTTACTGACAATATCCACCGCCATCATTGAATTGTTTGTTAGTGTTGCTAAGCAACAGCAATAGTTGAATACAAAATTCTTTGCTAATTATTAAGAGATCTTTTTTAATAAAACTTTCCTAACCTACAAATATAAACTATTCAAGACTTTTTACAAGATAAGGAAGATAATAGGAACATCAAAATGAATTTCTGATAATTAAAAAAAAAAAAAAAAAAAAGAAAAGAAATTAAAAGAAAAAGACTAAATAAAAAGTTTTTTGTGGTCGTCGTTGAAAAAGGAGGTACGATGGTACCACTTCAGAAAAAAACAAAACAAAAAACAAAAAATACCTAGAAGTATACAAGATTTTTTTTTGAGGCAAGATTTAAATATTATAATGCAATATTTAAGAAATAGAACCAACAAAAATCTCTCCGTACATCGTTAACAAAGAAAAAACATTTTATTTTTAACGTGTTATTTTATATTCAAGGGAGATAACTTTAATCAAAAGTTACTTCCCATGAAATTTCAAAGCTATTTTAAATTATTATAATAGGTTATATGAATCAATAATTGTAGCACCATTGACGTTTAAACAAAAAAAAAAAAAAAAGAAGTCCCCCCAAAAAAACAAAAATAAACTCAAAAAACAAAGCATCATGTTATATTCTTTATTAAATCAAAAGCCAATTAAAGGCCTGTCAGATCATTTCATATTCAAAATTTATAAAAATAGAAAGTTTTTCCACTTAATGAAAAGCTTGTGAAAGAAATTAAATGAACATACCTATCTCTGCCATTTTTATAGAAGCTGGTATTATAAGGACACTTAATAGCACAACTAAATACAAAGTTAGCCATATGGACTGATCAATGCAATTAATATGAAAGGAAACCACTTTAAATCATAATATTATGCATCTTTTTCTTTTAAATCAATTCAAAATCAAAAACTTTAATAAACTATTATTTAAACTGTTTGAAAATCTAAAGAGCATAATATGTAGATATATAAATTTGTCAATGTAACTTAATTTTCCCTTTTTTTGCTTTCCAACTATAAATATTCAAAATTCTTATCACAACAAGAATTATTTCTCAAATTTAGTAGACATATGCCAAGCACTGCAAGTAGCCTTTTCCATCAAACCCTCATCTTGGTAAAAATTGGCAAACAATTCCACTAAACATCTCTCATTCTGTAAACATTGTGTAAAGATTTTTTTTTTTTTACATTTACTGCATACACTTTCAGCAACATTCTTGTAATATTTCTGTGTACCATTTATAAGAATTGGTCATATTACCACTCTGCCACAATGACACTAATGTTAACTGCTGCTTTCCCCTGCTATTTGTGGGGATAAAATAAAAATACAAAATTAAATAAAAGTACAAAATAAAATAAACATTAAAATCTCCCAGGAGTCCTCTGACGGGAGGGACAATTTACACATGTGCAAAAGAGATTTCCTAGCGCCAAAATAAACTAGAAGAATCTATCTCTTTCTCTGTTGGACCTTTGACTGGTGAACACATGCCAACTGTTTGGGAAGGAAATTCCCCAACAAGCGGTCATTGGAATCCAAAAGAAGGAAATAAAATCAGTGTCCTAAACTGTCCCTCTAGTGTCTCCATATCCTTCCGTCTTTTCTTTGTCTATTTATTTCAGTGACGAAGACAAATTCAACAAGTTTTGGATGTTTAGGTGGAAGAATCAACCCAGCACTAATAGCCATAACATCCATATATTTTTGTTCTCAATGTGCTGAGTGTTAAATTCTTTGACTTATTTCTCATCAGGTTAAGGGGTGATCCTAAACATCTAGCCTCATTTTCTTTGGTATCTGAATTGCCATAACCAGTTGGAAGAGATTGTGGAATGGTTTCCCATTGCTTTGCTGCATGGTTTTGAATTCGAAGTTGGTCTTCTACCAGAGAAGGACAACTACAAATTGAAAACTAGCTGTCACCCAAGAATACAGAGCAAAGTCTACACTTTCCTTAGTGTAATGAGAAATGCCAACTGCTTCTTTCTGACTTACCAATGTTTTGTAAATTCCTATTTTTAAAACCTCATGATACTCACAGTAATATAATTAACCATTTTTAAGGCACTGAAGAGAAAACTTGTTTTTGGCTAAAAAGTATAAAATCAATAAGTAATTTTTGGCTTACAAGATGTTAGGGAAATCCATTTCTGAGGATTTATTTTGGGGCAAGCTATGAGAGAATATACAATTTTGGAGCCTGGAACTTATATAACTCATAACCTTTATAAACAAACAAATGAAATAAAACTACAAAAAATGAAAAAATAATTACATTATAAAATTTGCAATATTAATTCACTTTTGGTTAATATATAAAAAAATTTGTCATTTAGTTACTCCCATAGCTTACTTTTATGCAAAAAGTTTCAAATACATTTGCACATTTACTAATTCAAAATTTGAATACTTGAGTATCTGTATATTTCTGAGATGAGGTATTATGTACACTATTTATATTATTTGGACTATTGTCCTCATCTTTGTCGTCATATTTATTACAACAGCACAGTGGATAAAGGTGTTAGTTAGATCCAGTGATAGGACACAAAGAGTGTGAGTTCAATACCTGGTTATGGCAGTTAACTTGGAGAGGGTAATTAACAGGAGATAACTGACATCCATTAAACAGAGAACAGTCTACCCCAGCGAGCGAAATAAAGGGTTCAGTTTCAACCACCTGAAGAAGGCCAGAGTGTACAAATACGGTGACAAAGATGAGGACAATAGTCCGAATAATGTAAATAGTATTGAATGCTTAAATATTAATTTTTCTTCACATTTGTGTGTGTAAATACATGTTAATAACTATAACTGCTGCACTTGCCTTGATAAGGTTCCTTTAGGAATAAAATAACATAAGTGTCTATCCTGTTAGAAAGGGCAAACCTTGGCATTTCAAAATAGTTTTTCTTTTTAAAAAAAACAAAAAACACCATACTTAGTTACCTCTCCTTAAACAGTTTCAGGTCATGTACTGATGCAGTGTTCCTCAATCCACTTGGAAGAAATTTAACTTTCACATGAACACAGTAATTTTATCTTTGACAATGATGGACACTACAATATTTATCTTGTAATAAACAGTACCCTGATGATGACATTGCTATATTGAAAGCACTTAGAAATAAAAGAAATATGAATCAACATATCGATTTTCTCTCATCCTTCAATAATGACACCAAAAAGCTTATCCATGAATATGAAAGGATCCTATTGAAAATAAGTAGACAGAATAAGTCTAAATTATTCAACGAAACATGTCTTTCTCTCCATATTTTATTTATTTTTATATATATATATATATATATATATATATATATATATATATATATAAAAGGCTCAAACACTAATATTACAGGGTTATAATTTATTACATGGTTAAATTATAACCATGGAATATTAGTGTTTGAGCCTTTTATATTATTACTCTGTCCTGGACATTGAGTTTTACTGGGATTCTATCCTCTTGGGAATAGATTATATATATATCTCCAAAAGAGAAAGAACAGATGGAGTAAAAATCCGCAGTTCGTAGCATTTATTTTTTTAAAAACGTCCTCAATACAAAGTAGTGCAAAATATAATATTTTTATTATAATAAATTACAATAAAAATATTTTACATTGCTAGACAAAAACTTTCATGTTTCAGTACTAAGATGGTACTTCTTCAGGCGATGGTAAATAACTAATGATAAAAATGATTTATTAGGGAAATTAAAAAACAAATCTTTAGCTTAATTCTTCTGCCTCACCCTTTAACTTATGAAAAGAAGGTAAAGATTTATTTTTTTAAATTTCCCTAATAAATCATTTTTATCATTAGTTATCTACCATCACCTGAAAAGGTACCATCTTAGTACTGAAACATGAAAGTGTGTAACGAAATAAAATGTTTTTATTGTAATTTATTATAATAAAAACATAATTATCTTTGTTATAGACAAGTGTATGGTTGCAAGAAAGAAATACGACAACAGCAGAAATAGATTTACGTGGTTTATTTCAACAGGAACGTAAGGGTTTAGGACAGCTACCTTGGTGTGGTAAAGTTCATAAGCCGGCTTTCGGATCTAGGTCGATCTCTCATAGTAATTCACACATGTTGACGGTGGTTGGTGCTCTCCTGCTGACAGCTGCTGAACGTGACCGGTCTCCTTTGTGGCCACCTGTTGACTGCCTGTTGAACTTCCCTGTGACCCCTTTTATAGCTTTTATGGCTTAACAGGCTCGAGAAACGAAGCGAGTATAATTAGGAGGGAAGCATTTTTATTGGACGAAAAATAGAGCACTTTAAATATTTTTATTTTTCGACCGGAACACGTGTGTCGGAAATATTTGTGAAGAAAGATAATGGTCATTTTGTGACGGAGCTTTGTCCCGTTCACATCCGGTTCTCGCTCTTGAGTATTTGCCTGTAAATCAGCCGAGATATGTCTTATTTTATTTTATAACATCTTCAACCTCTGACAATCCTTTACATATAGTTAGATTTCTTCCTTGTTCACTCTTTTTAAATTACCTTCTCCCCCCTTTTTTTTTAGTTGTTAAAGCTTTATTTTACCTTTATTTTATTAAGAATTTTGTATTGCTTGCTGTAAGTTGTCATATGTCCTTTTATCTCCCCTTCTTCACCTTTGTAGTAGAAGCCTGGTCGCCTAGTGTGGTTCCCTTTTGTATGGCCTTGTGTCAGACCACCAGACTCCCAAATACAAGCGTAGTTGATACTCTTTTAGGATATCAACCGTTCTTGATAATGTTAGCAACAGTAGAGAATGGACAAACCTGAATGGTGTGCGAAAGGCATAACAAATACAAGTTTATTTAATAACAAACTGACAGGATGACGGAGGAAAGAATGTGGTGTCAAGTTCCTGGTTTCTGGATAGTGAATCTGAAGCGTGCAGTTGATGTTGAACGTTATTGCGTGCCAAATTGTAATAGTTGGCGCCAAATGTTCCTGAAGAGGAAAGGAGCCGGAGGATAG